CGAATAGACTTTATTAACCTCGCGGAGCCTCAAGAATATAAACACATTACCATAATGTTCAAACACAATCCGCGTTTTGTAAAGTCAGATGGTCATGCCATAACGCTTGGTGGTAATGAAGCAATGCTCTAGCACAACTATCTGGACACTTCACTGTTTTCGCTTTTTTTTTTCTTGAATAGAAGAGTCATAGAGTCACGAATAGAGTCACGTGTTTCCGCGTGTTTTTTAACCTGGGTGATCTTGCGAGGTGGTGAACCTGTATTATACGTCGTTGTTCGACGTAAGAACCCTTAGTCATGATTAGGCGGTAAACAATTGCACAAAGCCCATTAATTTCTACTTGTTCTTATTTTGATCAATAGAGTTTTTCGAGCCTGCTTTAGCACTTAGAGTACTAAATGAGTGGTTTTTGTTCGAGAATTTTCTACATGTTTTCTTATAGCGTAACGCGATTTAGCAGTTTGTTTTGATCATAGAACCAGGTTACCCACATTGATTCCTTCGTAGATCTGCCGTATTGAAAGAGATCGGATGCCTTCTTTTATAACAATTTTGGCTATCTTTGATTCGCTCGAGTCAAAGAGTTTGTGGGATAGATATAAATAATGGTACTGAGGGAATAAAGATTATTCCTCCGCTATAAACAAGCAGAGACTATCCAATGGTTCCGTCCGTTCCACTAGTGTTGATTCTGCGCTTCAAACCAACCATAGGTGTACCGATAGCCTCGTTGCTCAGATCATGAAGCGAGTTCGGCAAAACCTTTGAGTCCACCATTAAGTAACTCTGTCGGTTCTTCCTTAATCAACCAGTATAGTATAGTGGCGGCTGCGATGGATGCACTTGCGTGGTAGTGACCGTTGAGCCGCTCACTACTTAGTAGTAGTTCAGTGGTGAGAATATTAGGTTGTAGTAAATATTAGATAGCGTACGGACTATCTACTAGTTGTTGTCTCTGCTTGACTCTCGAAAGTGGATCTGTTTTGTGATCCTTATTATTTGATGGTTCTGCAATATAGGTATTTACCCTTTGACGTCTGAGACGCTGTGAATTGAGAGTCAAGAAATAGGTATCGTAGTTTTAGGGTACTGCAATTGATCTGTAGGCTATGATTGCCCAATGAACCAACGACTAGGGTTCCACGTGAGAGTTTGGCGGTTGACTTGCTCCTTTGAGTGCAGCTCCACACGGTGTTGATCTGCTAGCTTGGACGAATTGTATTTGCTCGTTCTTCGCCACGCGGGTCTTGTGGTTGTTGTCTTCACAGCGTAAATCTCAAACTCAAACTTGGGTAATTAAACCGTTTATACCAATATTATAATAATAACAAAAAGAAGATACTAAAAAACAGTATAAGTGGCGCGTTAATAACAGGATTACCAAAGAAGCGTAAGACAATCAGTAAAAAGATACCTTAAAGTAGGAGAGTAGTTGTATTGGCTATTGTGTTAATATGAGAGAGAGAGCTT